AAATTAAAAAAAAGGTCAATTCAAGGAATGGCATCTTTTTTTTTTTTTTTTACCGGGTTTAATTTCTCTTCAGTGACAGACAGGCTGGCATGTTGTGGGCTCTCAGGTGGTACCTCCGTCTCAGAGTGCCTTACGGAGGGGTGAGGGGCCTTAAAATCTGGAGGTCCATCTGATGGAGTGGTTGCTGCAACTACGTCAAGAGCACTGAAATCGGAGTCTGTAAAACTGCGGTGAGAGGGGTCTTCGTCCTCAGCAGTGCTTTGAGGTGGGCTATAATTGTCCTGATGGGGTGACCTGGGGTCAGGTACGTGCATTAAAGGTGGGATTTCTTGGGGTGGGGACCGAGACTCTGGGTCCATGGTGTGGCTAGAGTGCCCATAAGCTGGCTCAGATGATCGGGCTAAGGCAGCTCCCACTACCCTGGAGCCTCGTGGGGGCCTGGCTGCTTCTTGACCGAGGTATGCCTCTTCAAGGTCTTCATTATCAGTGTAGATCTCTCCATCAGTGAAGGGCTCTCCATCAGTGTCTTCTAGGTCACTAGCAGCACTGAGGTAGTCAGACTGCATTTGGTCCAGAGCATCTAGGTCCTGCTCTCCACCACTCTCCAACTGAACAGAAAGACAAGTCATCATAGATGATCACTGGACATATATATATATATATATATATATATATATACATACACATACACATACACACACACACATAACATATTAAAAATGCTCACTAATTTCACAAATTTAGCAGCATTCACAAGTTATTTTTTTACACAACACAATCTAACAATATACTCAGCAAACCAAGAGGAAATGGGTCAAATGTTAAAAAGTCGTGTGTGTGTGTGTGTGTGTGTGTGTCCTACCGTGACTTCAGACACCCAGACAGGTTTTGACTGCTGGTGGCGGATCTTGTCTTTCAGTCTCTCATACCAAATATCAGAGTCTGGCTGCAGGTCAACACGTGCTGGAGGGAAAGTGAGGAGAAAAAAAAATAACGCAAAACAGCTAACAAGGGAAATACACTCTAAATTGATATAATACACTTGTATCTGTCAGGGACAAATGGATAATTACAATAATAAAGAAGCTGCGTAACTGTGTACAGTGACATGTGGTGGCTAAAGACACTTTTGTCATTACCTGAGAAAAGGTGGCTGCAGTGTTTCCTTAGCTTGAGGGCCTGTGTGTAGAGGCGTCTGGAGCTCTTGTTGGAGGACGGATTATACCTCTGTCTCATGGCCTTGACATCCTTGCGGCTATGAGGGTCCAAGAACAGCACCATCGGATGGTACTGGATGTAGTTCAGCCTCTCCACTGCAGTGGGAGTGATGTCCAGCAGAGGGTGCTTGTCCTGGGAGAAAACGAAAGTAACAGCATAAGGAGTGGAAGAAAGAAAATCAGATGTTTATATTTCTGTTAAAAGTGGCCATAAATATCATTTTTGTTCTGCCTGTTAAGTTTAATTCTGAGTGTTGTACCTCACCTTTTCTGCTATTCTCCTCACAGTGTCCAGTTTAATAACTGTGGAGCCACTCTCTCCTCCACCACTGCGAGGAACCATTTCTGCCACAAGGCAACAGGAAAAATAAATGTTTAATAAGAACAGAAGATCATGAGAAAACAAAAAGATCAGGAGAACTTGAGGTTGGAGTCAGAAATGTGACAGAGAGGAACCAACCTGCCACTCCATATTCATCAGGCATCTCTTTGGCCAGCTTCTCCATGGCAATATCATTAAGTGGACCCATGATGACAATGGGCCGTTTGAAATTAGCTGCAGACACAAACAAGTTGCCAGCATTAAGACTTGTTCAACTAGTGATCAGGTTAGGACATGATTCTGCTGTTCATCAGGATGGAAAACAACCTTCTCTGAGCAGCACTCTCTCGTAGGCCGGGAATTTGCCCTGAATGGTGAGCTGCAGCAGGTCATCACGAGTCCGACGTGTGTTCTTTTCATTCTTCTTGTTCCCTCTGAGCCCCCGGAGTTTCCAGAACTCAGCTCTCGGCCCTGCCACTGGCTTCTCTCCAATGGTCCGCTGCGTCTTCTCGATGCTAGCCAGTGTCTCAGCCCTGCAGGAAATAATGGGCAGATGTAAAAAGTGAAATACTGTTCTGGCTTCAACTAGAAATCTACATCTCTCTTCTTGACCTGGTCTGGTTGGGGATGGTGCCTTTATCTAACTCGTGCAAATCATTCCCCATACGGATGGCCAGCCAGTTACCCAGCTTCCCACGGTGCATCGTGTCCACCACCCTGAACACCTCTCCTCTGGTGAAGCCCAAGCCAATGGGGCCTTCTGCTTCATGGTCAAAGTGGGTGCGGACAAAGAAGTTGTCTGCCAAGTTGGACTTTGTGATCTTCTTATAAACTGAGGAGAAGCAAAGACTCTGGTCACTGGCTGACAGTAGCTATACCCATTAATATTATGTATATGAGCACTTCAGCAACAAACTTACTGTCCATCTTGTGCTGAGTGCAGATTTCAATCTGCTCTCCTTTCTTGATGTTCAGGAGGAAGTTGGCTGCCTCTTCTCGTGTGAAATGGCCAAAATCTACTTTATTTACCTGTGCAAAATGAAATAATTATTATAAATTATATAGTTTGACAAATAACATGTCATCTCTAGCTGTTTTATACAAGCTAGAGGACTGAAATTAAGAGTTAACTCTTGCATATTAATGTCATAGTGAGCCCAGTGTGTTCAGATTTTCATCAAGTGTAATCATGAACTATAACATCATGCTCTGATTAGGTGAGGTTCAAGTTACAAAATCCGTTTATTGAACTGTGCAGGTTCTAGCTGCTCTGAGGCATGATCCTCTTTGTTGCTGCTAAGCTGTGAGTGGTAATAATTAACAATTTAAGGTCTGCGAGCTAAAGAACAGAACCATTATCTCACCTGCATGATCTGGTCTCCTTCTGTCATTCCCTGCTCATATGCAGGACTGTTTGGTTGAACTCCACCTACAAATATCCCAACATCATTGCCCCCCACGAGCCTCAGACCCACGCTGTCCTCCTTCACAAATGACACTGTGTGAACATCTGAACTGTACCTGAGAAAGCCAAAGCGAGAGAAGAGGCATGCAACGGACATGGATTTAGGTTTAATTACTGTTGCACCAACTACAGCAGCTGTATGACACGGAAAGTTTATTTATATACCACATTTTCACAAAGTCAACCCAAAAGTACTTAACACAATGCACGCAAATAGAAAAAAAACCCACAATACATACATATATAAATAAAATGCACACAAATAGAAAAAAAAACATTAAAATGCAAACATGTGCTGGGTATAAGCAAACTGATTCTGGATTAGCATTGGTTGGCTTTGTGTAATTATGTGTGCGTGTTGATGTCATTTGTTCTGCATGTTTGAAAGAATCAAATCAAATCAAAATCAAATCAATACATAGATAAAACTTTGGAAATTAGATTATAACATTCAATCCAAATTAAAAGCAACAACTACATGACAGCACAAAGTAGCAACATGCAAGTGTAGATACCTACAGTGGTACTAATAGCTATGGCAGACTGTGGATTCTCATGATACTTTGTACCCCTGCACTTCAGTCTTCCCAAGACTAGCCTCTGAGCAATTTAACACTAAAGGTGGGTATACTTTCTTCCAGAAATGTGAAAAACCAGTGTGCATACAGTCAGCTAAACACTCCCCAAAACTTTCAGAATAACTGTGTGATTCTCACTGTTCTCAATATACTTTGTAACCCTTCTCTTTAGTCTTTCCAGGACTAGCCTCTAAGTACTTAAACATCAAAGGTGGGTATACTTTCTTCTGGAAATTTGATACATTAGTGTCTATACAGTCAGCTAAACGGCACAATGAAGTCAACTGGCCATTGACTAACAGAAGGAAGATAAAAGCAAATAAAATGCTAAATTGAGTAAAACTGAGATAAATTAATTAAAAGCAGTGGGAAAAAAGAACAGTTTTTAGTTTTCAAAGAGGCTACAGTTGGAGCACATCTCAGTTCTAATGGGAACTGGCTCCAGCTGTGGGCAGCATCATGGCTAAAAGCACTTTTACCTAAGCAACCCTACATTCCTGGAAAATTCAATAAAGTTGAAGTATTTACAGGTTAAATAGTAGTGGTCCAAGAATCAATCCTTGTTATCTAGATATGATCTGAGCCACCTGAGGACGGTTCCCGATAGTCAAACCCAGTTTTCCATTCTATCTAGAAGTATTCCACAGTGATCCACTGATCCACAGTGTCAAATGCTGCACTAAGACTGTTAAGTTCCCTGAGTCATTATTCAAGTGAATGTCATTTAAAATCTTTGATAAATAGTAGTTTCAGTGCTATGGTATGACCTGAAACCTGATTGAAATCTATCAAGGATGTCATTTGTTTGCAATAAAGAATTGATTTGGTTAAAAACTGCTTTCTCAATCATCTAACTTATGAAGGGAAGATTTTAGATGGGCCTGTAGTTACTTAATACTGCAGTTTTTAATGATGCTGGGAAGATGCCTGATAGGAGCAAATCATTTACAAAAAAATCCACTGACAAAGAGCTAAACACTTTTGTTTTTCTTTGTAGATGTCATAGTGGATCTGAAGTTTAGTTTTTCTCCATCTTCATTCTGCTTTTCTGCTTTCTCTCCTCTGATATGCTACTGATGCAGCATTTCTCCATGGTGCTTTCTGTTTGCCAGAAATAATTTTAGTCTTAACAGGTGCTACTGCATCTAAGGCCCTGAGTGTTATATTAGATGAATAAATATTTGTATCATAAACTTCACTCACCCAGGATTAGGTGCTGGGTAAGAATCTGGAGGTAAGGAGTAGATGGGCTCCTCTGCAGTCTTGGCTGGAAGAGATATGGAAATTGTGAAACTCCTAATTTCACTATCACTTTAACTATTTACTTAACTTAACATCATGTGCAGCCACTTTACTACACTTTCTACTGATCCTGGTTTTATTTTGAAACAACTCAATAATTATAAAGCTTGGAACTATTATCATGTCAAATGGCATTACTGCACATCACTGCTACTCTTGAGCCTTACAGTAGACTTGGGGTGTGGCTTTTACTGAGATCCCAGACTTCTGTGTGCCGTGTTTGCTAGTAGCTCGGGGAACACTACGAGGTAGAGAAAACACAAGCTGTGATATGTGTAATATCACATTTACAACAGTACAAGTGCTGAAGGGAACATCCCAAAGAGGGGGAAAAACTGACAATAGTAGGAAGACCTATACTTAAATGAGAATGTAGTGATTATTGTCCAATTATGCTTTAATGCGTGTTTGTTTAATGAAGTGAATACTGTCACTGTGCACCTGCGGTAGTTGTCCTCGCGCTCAGAGCTCCCAGACCTTCTGAGATATGAAAGCTCATCTGACCCTGAGGAATCTGAGTCAGGAAAATGGGACAGAGAATGTGATTAGGACTAACTTTAGACATCTGGCTCAAAAAGATGACAAAATGGCCAGACAGAGGACGACAAGACAATGATAAGTATGTGCATACAGGATGGTAAACTGACCATCAGGCTGTGGACTGGGTAGAGCAGGGGCTCGATGAGGAGGCTCCTGCCTCACAGCAACTGAAGTGGATTTTGCCCCAGATTGAACTCTGAGGGAAGCATAGTAAGAACAATAAATGCATCAAATTACAGAAGGTCATTTAATTTTTTTTCCACAGGATTGTTTTACTAAGTTTTAAAACAAAAATGCTTCTGTAAATTGTACACCATTGAAACACAAGGTGATGCAATCCTTGCAGGAAGTCATGTCATGTGCGCAAGTGTGTACAGAGTGTATTACAACGAGACAGCACTTGTGTGAGTAAGCAGACAAACCACTCCAATGTCCTGTTGGTGTCATTTTACACAGAGACGCAGTGACTCAATTTTTACTGGGCCAGAGTGTGTTTCTGCACCAAATACTATAGCAAATCCCATTCAGTGCTTATTAAACTTTTATAGTAGATAGATGTTTTATATTTTTACCTCAATGAATGATATTACTGTGTATCCCTGTATTTCATATTAAATATGCTACCTTTAATCTCTGTGTTAATATGAGAGTCTGCTGGCAATCAGCTGCTTTCAGACCTGTTATCCAGGGTCAGTGGTGCCAGTCCAATAATAAGAGATCCAAAAAACAAACCCACCTACCTCTGAAGTAACACTTCACACTTCATAATCTACTACTGACTCTGTACAATCACAGATATTTAAGACTAATTAGCGAAGACATTTCAGTTGACTATCAACAAGTGAGAACTGCCCATATACCTGCTGTATACCTGCTCAGGTTACTGTATCAACACACTGCAGGTTTACTGTAAACAGTGTTGGTTGAGGTTAAATTTAGGCCTTTGGGAGTACTGGGTAAAATTTGGATTTAGTTTTCTGGTTAGTCCCATAGGTCATGTTTATAGTTATGAGAAAATACATTTACTGTAAAACTTTAATACAAAAATTTTTAGCACTCGACTGTTGGGTGGCTGAATGATGGAAACTTGCGTGCTTGTCAGCCTCACGTTTTAGACAGTCAGCAGTGAATTTATGACATTAAATTGTGTCATTCACCTGTATTTGTTGTTCAATGTGTTGGAAACATTGTTTGTAGGTGTGTAACTGGCCTCTGACTCAGAATCTGAAAGAGCTGAGAAGATCAAGAAAAAAAGGCTGTCATTATTAAATGTTCCGGGTAAAGATTTCATACTTCAGCATGTTGTTCTTAGATGTATTTAACTAGAAATCCATTGGTCAGTGGATAAAAATACAAAAACACATTATTAAGAAAATATCTAAAAATAAGTTTTGATTTTGGCTCAAAACTTAAAATGGGAACACACAAACTCCCTCCATAAGAGTTCATAACGCTCACTACAAATATAGCCAGTCACTTCAGCTGAGGAACAGAAGTATTTGAACACCCTGCGATTTTGCAAGTTCTCCCACTTAGAAATCATGGAAGGGTCTGAAATTCACATTGTAGGTGCATTCCCACTCTGAGAGACAGAATTTTTTAAAAAAAGTGCAGGAAATCACATTGTATGATTTTTAAAGAATTTATTTGTCTTGCACTGCTGAACATAAGTATTTGAACACCTGAGAAAATCAGTGTTAATATTTGGTACAGAAACCTTTGTTTGCAATTACAGAGGTCAAACGTTTCCTGTAGTTCTTGACCAGGTTTGCACACACTGCAACAGGGATTTTGGCCCACTCCTCCACACAGATCTCCTCTAGATCTGTCAGGTTTCAGGGCTGTC